CCACGGCCGGCTTCAAGTTGTGTTTCCTGGATGAACTGCCAGGCAGAGTCCCTGTAGCTAGCTTCACGGAGCAGCTAGCAGAGAGACAAGAAGCTAGCAGTAGCAGTCACTTGACAGAGCGGTCACTAAATGTGACCACGCCCTAATTTATGACAAAAACTTTAAGACCTAATATAAATAAAAGGGTCGTGTTAGAAAACAATTCACTCACAGATTCATAATCATGAAGGTGGAATCTAACTATATCGATAATAAAATGTATGGAGCCAGGGGTAGAAACATGTTATTTTCTGCTGTCAAATTGGTCATTTTAACATGGGGGTCTATGGAAATTGCTCCTTTCTGCAGCCATCGCCTATCGGCCAATATATGAACTGCAGTATGTAGCACTTCCATATTGGCGTCTCGGCTCTTCTATTTTGCCGAAATGTGGGGCGGGACACAATAAATAAAGCTTCGCCAGTTTGTTTGTTTTATTGCACTGTCAAGACATAACAATAACGACATCACGCCGCTCAAGTAGCTTTTGCGAACATCGCTCAAAACATTTGGAGTTGGGAACTGCTGTCTGTAGAAGCTGCTGCATCCCGTCCTCAGAGTAAATTGCCAGAAGTGCCGACACTTCCTCATCATTCCACCGTTCCGGTGTTGTAGAACGTGTGGTCATAACTGCTTTAAAGTACAAAAAACTACTCGCTCACGTGTGGATGTGGTTTTGTAGTGAGGAAAAAAATGGCTGCCTAACAAAAAAAATTCAGAGTCTAACGGGGCGTGGTTTGCAATTCGCCCAGCCAATAGAAATAGAATAGAAATTGGCACTCTTTTATCACCAGGTTCGTACCACCTCTCTAGCAGGGACTGAAAATGGCCAAAAGAGTTCCCGGCACTGAGTAGTCCCGGCGGTGTGAACGCGACATTATTGGTACTAACGGAACTAAAGAACCAAAGTACCAGGGAAAGTCCTGCTGTGTGAATGCGGCTATAGAGTGCTGAGCCTCAAAGCAGCAGTCGTATAGAATATAAGATTGATATCATGGCTTTCTTGTTGTATGTTTTTTAATTGTGTTTTCCAACTCTGTTTCCCTTCAGAACCATGTATTGGGCAGACTGGGGCAACCACCCTAAAATTGAGACAGCTGCTATGGACGGCACTCTGAGACAGACTCTAGTCCATGAGAACATCCAGTGGCCAACAGGTCAGTACTGCCTCACTATGACCAGTTTTCAACATATTTTAATAAACTAGGACTTCTTTCATATACGTTTTTTTGCAGTACTAAATACTGCTCGTCACTGTACAGTATTTAACATTAATTGTGTGACCGTCTATGTTTCTTGTAGCTATTTAATTGCTCTTTTTACTTCACTGTTAGTGTACAGTTGTATTATTATGCTGCTGTGTTTATTGTATTTTTGTAACTCTGGCATAAAAAATTTCTTTCGGCATGATTAAAGTTCTATCTTATCTTATCTCTTAACATATTAAACCATTATGTTTTTTATGATGTTCTTTACAATTACTTTTTGACATACAATACTATGATGTGGACCTTTTTTCATGTACAGTGCCTTTGTTCAGCCTTTATATTGTTACGAGACATTCTATATATAGTACTATAAAACATTTACAGTTAGACAGCTTTACTTTTTGAAGCTACACATAAAAAATGACAGCATTTTCTTCCATTCTGTCTCGACAGGTTTGGCTGTGGACTACTTCAACGAGCGTCTTTACTGGGCAGATGCTAAACTCTCAGTGATCGGCAGTGTGCGTCTGGATGGCTCCGATCCTGTCGTTTCTGTCTCTGGAATCAAAAACAGTTGAGTTCTTTCTACACTCTCATCAACCATGTGTGACACATGACATTCAGAAATCTAGTATAAACCTTTTGTCTGCTGATGTATTTATTTTTAACGTATTACTATTTTTTCCCCCCTCCCAGACCTGCTTCATCCATTCAGCATAGACATCTTTGAGGACTACATATATGGTGTCACATATATCAATAACATTGTCTTCCGGGTCAACAAGTTTGGCAAAGGCCCCATGGAAAATCTCACCACAGGCATCAACCATGCTACTGACATCGTCCTCTATCATCGTTATAAGCAGCCAGAGGGTGAGTTACCCTGCATCCTGAAACTCACAAGACTTATTCATTTATACATCTTAAAAGGATTTGAAATTCCTTTTGTACAGTTTTTCTTATATGATGCCATTTTTTTCTCTGCAACAGTGACGAACCCCTGCGACAGGAAGAAGTGTGAGTGGCTGTGTCTGCTCAGCCCTAGTGGGCCGGTGTGTACCTGCCCCAATAACTACGTGGCCGACAACGGCACATGTGTGGAGAGACAGAAACCCACCACGTCCCCATTCAGTGAGTCACAGTACACTGAAGTACACATACAGTTAACTGAGCAATAACCCCACTTTTACATTGGTTGGTTTTCTTCTGGTAGGCCTTATATTCAGATGCTGTATACAACATGTTAACTTCATCATGGCATTTCCCCCCCCCTCCACAGCCCCCCCCTCAGGGCCCTGCGACCTGCAGTGTCAGAACGGTGGAAGCTGCTTCCTAAACTCCCGCCAGGTGGCCAAGTGTCGCTGCCTGTCCAGCTACACCGGAGAGAGATGTGAGATCAACCAGTGCAGGGACTACTGCAAGAATGGAGGCACATGCACCGCTTCTCATACAGGTAAGACACAATGATCTCAGCTGTGTATTTTCTGTACATTTCCTAAAGGTGAATGGCCTTTCAATGCTTTGTAAGACCAATCTAAGTGGGAATACCTTAATCTGTCTGGATGTCTTTAAATAGAAACCTTTTAGTGAAATAAATATGGTATGGCAAATGTTATGTTATAATTATTTTCAATCATTTACTTTATCCGATCCAACTTTATTTATGTAGCACATTTAAAAACAACAGAGTTGACCAAAGTGCTGTACATCAATAAATATATAAAAAGCAGCATAAATACATTTAGACAAAACAGATAGGACATAAAACACATGTAAAACACGAGACAATAAAACCATACTTAAAGCCACAGACTGAAAACTCTCATGCATGATGTAAAAACAATATAAAACACAAGAAAATGAAAACCCCAATTCAAAAGCACAGACTGATAAGTCTTATACGTGGTCTGCAAAAGCACGGGAGAATAAGTGGGTCTTTAAACTTAAAAACAGGCAAAGTGGGAGCAAGTCTGATCGGGGTTGGGGCAAATCGTTCGACAGCCTGGGAGCAGCTACAGCAAAATGTATTCCACTGACGGCAGCTGAACAAACTTTTTTTCTGAAAATTGTTAGTACCATTCCTATCATCCTTTTGATGTCTTTGAAAATTCTCTGGACGATTAGTTACATCAATCACATGCTGACATGCTTCAGCTGGTGATTTCCAGATATCCCCTGATTCTATAATTAGCCAAATATGTTGTCATTTCAATTATTAATGAACTCAAATTTGTCAAATCTGTAAAAGATTGTAGTTGTTGAGATAAACAGCTGCATCCTTTGTATAAGTTCATTACATTTCTCTCCAATGTATTTCCTGTGTCCCAGGTGCTCCGACCTGCAGATGCCCGAAGGGTTTCACAGGGCCAAACTGCAACCGTCAGACCTGTCAGGACTACTGCCTGAGCGGAGGAAACTGCTCCGTCAACATGGGCAACCAGCCCACCTGCAGCTGCCCCCCCGAGTACCAGGGAGACCAGTGCCAGTACAGTGAGTGAACCTCAGAGGCTGCTACATTTAGAGAACTAGACTCACTCGTAGACTGTAAATGGCTGATGAAACAAATCTGTATGGATGCACTTATTCTTCTGTTGTACTGGATGCAAAATCCCCACCATTAATACAATCCATTGAAACAAAGTTAGAATCTATGTCAGTTCTTTGCCCTTCTCACACGTCTCTCTTCCCGTCCTCAGCTAACTGTGAAGGGTTCTGTCACAACGCTGGAACCTGCTTACAGACCGCCAACTTCACTAAAATCTGCACGTGCCCCTCACAGTTCATCGGACACCTGTGTGAGCTGGACAAATGTTACTTCTGTGGAACGGGCAAGTGTCTGACGTCAGCCTCAGGCGAGGTGTCCTGCAGGTAGGTTCACTTGGAAGTCTTCACAAAATAAATGATATTTAGATTTGTAATGTAAGTGAATGTTTATTTAAAAAATCTGACATATCTATGCACATCACCTTACATGTTGCATTGAGACATAGCACCCATATTTGAACATTCTTAATGTGTTAATGCTGCTATATCAGGACTTATTATCAACCAACATAAATAACTGTTTTCTGTATGTGTGTGTAGCTGTCCCAACGGTCAGACCCAACCCAGCTGCTATTCCTGTTTGGACTATTGCTCAAATGGACAATGTTCAGTGGACACCCGCACACTGCTGCCTCAGTGCAAGTAAGTACAGTATGACACACAACGACACACATTATTACACTTTCTTTATCCTTTTTCTGTCTTTTAAACTCACAATTTTTTCAAGCAAATTCACTTGGAATTAACATTTCTACTGTACTGATAAGTCGAACCAAAGTGTTTACATGGACTTCACTGCACATACATTAATGCACATTTCTACTGGTAGTGACCCCGATTTATTAATAATTTGCATACATAAATCACACATACTGTAACTGTCTCATTGTGTGTCCAGGTGTCCTGAGGGATGGACGGGTTACAGATGTGAAATTGCAGCACCTTCTGTGGATTCTGCTACTTCCAGTGGAAGTAAGTTACACATTTCAGCGTGTCTTGTTTGAAAAATATGAACTTTGGTCCTATTTGCTCACGTTATTTGCTCTCTCACAGGTTCTGCCTCCGTGGTGATCCCAGTGCTCCTGCTGCTGTTACTGGCCCTGCTGGTTGTTGGTGCCATCTTGTGGTACAAGCGGAGAATGCGCGGGTGAGTCTGCTTAGGCTTTAGATCATAGCTCCATTGTTCATCTGTTCCTCACACTATCTAGCTTCTCTTTCTCCCTTATCTCCTGATAACCAACGATTTCCTGTCTCCCAGGTCTCTATGGCGGGGCAAATCTCGCTCTCAGTCCTCGCGGTAACTTCATAGGGTTACATAATTTACCTGTTGACCGACAAATTGTGTCCCCTCCCCTTCCCTAATATCCAGTCAGATTGGCCATACTGTATGTCAGTCCATATGTCCAGTCTGTTTGTATTTGTAGAAATCTGTCTGTCCTTGCCTGCCATTCTCCCACCCAGCCACACAGGGACGTATTGACTCTTATCTGTTGTAGCTTTGCTGGTGATGCACAAACTATTGAACCGTTTCGTCCTTCTTGCATCTCCATACCTTCCCCTTGTTTACATGTTAGGCTTACGCTATGTGCTTGCATAGTAAAATATATGACTGTGCATCTATGAACAATGTTTATGTGCATAGCAGAATATTTGCAATGTGGAAATCGAAAATGTTCCACAATAGACATGCTGCAGTATATTCTCTGGGTTTGATCATATGACTTTTTTGCAAAAAGCTCATTTGACAACCTTAAATATATGTTGTATTGATTGTGTGATTCGTATGTTGCTGATGCTGAGTCAGTACCTGGTTCATGCCAAGTCGTTACACTTAATTAATTTGTAATTGCTTGCTTTGTTAATGAATGTGTTTGTCTTCGTCTGTCTGCAGTGCAAAGGGCTTCCAGCACCACCGAATGACAAATGGAGCCATGAATGTTGAGATTGGGAACCCTGCCTATAAGATCTATGAAGGAGACCCTGACGATGACGCTGGGGAGCTCCTGGATTCAGACTTTGCTTTGGACCCAGACAAGGTAACAAGCTTAACTTAAATAGTGGTCTGCTCACAGAAAAAGAAAAATGATTTACCCCAAGTTGTAAAAAGCAATGCTAATGTATGATTTGTATGTACCTGCATTTCTGGGAACTCCTGCAACGACCCTCAAGGAGAAGAGTGCAATTTGATGTTTGGTAGCATTCATTTGGTAAAAAGTAGATTGAATAGAAACTACTCTAAGACAGGCCTATGAATTATCCAGAGTGACCAGGACAATGTATTTTGAAAGGCACACTCAATGCTTTGATCCCAGTTTGACTTGCGATGGTAGCAGAAATATTACTCTTGATATGTCAAACCCTCAGCTTATGACGTTATTTATCATCTATATTATATTTAGGGATAGATAGAAAAAAAATGCATGAACAGCTTTTTGATGCAACAACCTGTTACAACAATACAAAAACAGGGTTGAACCAAATTCAATTCATTAAGAAAAGTAAATAAGATCAAATCAAAGTAGTGTGGGCTTCCCTGCAGACTCTTATGACTGAGAGCGAGCGAGAGAGATAGGGAGGAAGAGGAAAGGTCTTTGTGAGGTGCTTCTGACAAAAGAACAGGAGCCCAGACATGTTGGCGCAGGTTCTGGTGGTAGGAGGGAAAATCTTTGGTTGTTTCTGTTTGGGTAAACTTCCCTTTAAGAGCCTACATTTTTTTTCTTGTAATTTGAATGTTCTGACCTTTTCAAACACAACATGCAGTAAATGCCACCTTCACATGTTAAGAATCTCTGCCTCTATGTGCCCTTTGAGTCACCATGTAATTTCCTTTGCTCTGCAGCCCACCAACTTCACCAACCCAGTGTATGCCACCCTGTACATGGGCGCCCAGCACAGCCGCAACTCTCTGGCCAGCACGGACGAAAAGAAGGAGCTGCTCTCCGCGGGCGACGAGGACATGAGTGACCCGCTAGCGTAGAGCTCGGACTGAACTCTGCCAACCCAGCGCTGAGCCCACGAGCTCTCTCATCTTATGCCTTTACCAACTGAAAAGAAAAGCAACAAAAAAAGCGAGAACACTGTATAAAATGTATAAAATGAAGGACTACTTTTTTAAGTGATTGCAGTATTATATTTTGTTCTTTGACAAAAAAAACCCTCTGGTGACGAAAAGGAACCATTTTATAGACATTTATTCAGTTCTTCTCTTTAATTTTTGGTCACCTCCTCCTCACAACTCTCCCTCCCCTCTCACGCATATAGCCACTACCTCTGTGCAAATGTAAAAGATAGAGGGATACAAACGGCAGTGGAACAATTTTTATTTTTTATTTTTGTATGAATTCTATAGGGGAGGAGGACAAAAAAGAATATTGTTCCATCCTAGAAAACGTTGCCAAGTCTTTGTTGTTCCTGAAAGAGAAAAAAGGGTCAGTGCTCACTAAAAATGCTTCCTGGTGTGGCTCTGTCTTTCACGTCATGTGTACTATGGGATGTGCTGCTGGAGGTCTGGAGGAGTTCACATGGAAGCACGCAGAATCCAAGATGGCGACTGTTGTGTTGTCTCGAAGAACTACATTCAAGTGATTGTCTTTTACCTCCTTGCACAGACTAAAGTTATACATATATATATTTGCATATATATAAACCTATTAACAAAGTGTCTTGAAAATATACCCAGGAATACAAACATCAGTAACAAATAGCAGTCCGTACTTTTAAACTTTTGTTTTCGTATAAGCGGCATACTTTTTGTCAGCAATGAATGAGTCAATGGCAGTGAGCTGGATGAAGATGATTGTAACAAAGTCCACATTCCAGGAGCAACAGTCTGGGATGGATATCCGTGGCCTTGGTTTACTGCAGGACACTCTGGAGACAGATTTTGCTCTGAAACTGTTAAAGGTCTTTTTTTTTTTTTTAGAGTGACGGTAAGCTTCTGTGAATTTCTGGTCATCACTGAAAAACACCCTGCGATGATCAGCTAGCTGAGGATGGTTGCATTTGGCTTTTGTTCCTTGTCTTTTGATTGTAAATGTAATTTCAGGAAAGTGCGGGGAGGCGGTTTGATGGTACGTACTTCTGTGCGAGATTGAGGTTTTTTTTGTCTTTTTAAATTGTAGGCCTATGTAATTACATGGACGTGTAATTTAGGTTAATGCTCATTGTTAAGTGCATTCCCAGGAAGGGGACGAGCTTCCTGATAAGCATTCCTTTGTTAATTCCTTTGCCTTGCTGCTAACGCTAACCCTCTGTCAGTCAAACTGGTTTTTAGTCTTAAAGTGTTGCTCTCTCTGTCTCACTGCTCACCACGATGCTTTTAACTGAGTTTATCAGCCATACCTGTCATATCACTCTGCATGGTGCTCACACACACGCGCGCACACACACACACACACACACACACCCATCCTGTAGGAAACTAGCTTTGCCCCTCACTTGTCAAAAGTATTCATCACATTGTATTTCTTTACATCCTGCTCTGTTAGATTTTCACATGTAAATTAGAACAATCATTTTACAGTTGGAGAATTTCTTTTGGTGGAAAAAACCCACATGGATATTTGTGGTTCTGATTGTTTTGTTATGATTTTATTTCTTTTTGATATAAGAAATTAAATGGATTTTTATAGTAGAAAGGTACGGTGGCTCTGTCCCTCATTTTGAGAGAAGGAAAAGTAATCTCTAATTATTTCTGGTTGGAATACATCACAAGTAAACAAATATCCTTTAAGAAATCAGAAATAAAACATTCAAATATAGTAATCACTTGTTTTGAATGTTGCTTCATCAAAGAAAGAACAGCTTTGTTAAAACTCTTGAGATATAATGACAGTCTTGTATTTACATAATTGTATCATATTTATTATTTAGGAATTTTCATCTTTCAGTCAATATACAATAGCATTGAGCATATATTTTAAAAAGTAAATTTCTTGATTTGAATGTACATGAATATAAATGTCTACTAAGACAATAGTGTCTCATATATTGAGCCAAATTAAGTAGTGTAAAGATCTCTCGCTCCCTTTGTGCCAATGTCATGTAAGTTTCATCATCTCCATTAAAAACAGAGATAACAAATTTAAAAAAGCTTAAGACCTCATAGGAATGGAAACGTCCTTCATCCATCACCACATCTATAGCAGGTTTAAATCATCCGAGCCCTTACGCAGCGGGTTTCTTCTTTACACATTTGTCACCTCCCAAATGTCACTTTAAAGTGTGACAGAAAGTGTTGTCAAGGCATATAACATTCATCTTTAAGAACTACTTGGACAAGGCACAAATAAAAGTCCATTTTTAGACATTTATCTACTAGAGGTAAACAAAATAGTTATCTTACATTCTAGTTGTTACCTTAAAGCTGGACGTTTCATCTTTTGCATATTGTTGTCAGTATTATAAGACTAATATTATACAACAAGGCAATTGAAAATACAATCTTTAACAAATGAAGGCTGTCAAACAAGAAATGATAGCTGATAACACCGTTTACACAAAAAGGCACTTCTTAAGCAAAACATAAAACATTGAAGACATTTTGGTTTGATTAGCTTGTCCAAAAGAATCAGAAGAATAGACGCTCTTCCCTCCAAGGTACATGCGATTGAAGTCTTGATTGAATGTGTTGAAGTAAGGGCCCCATGATATAGAAGCTTGTCTATTATGATTAGAAGTCTCTTTAAGGCAAACATCCCAGCAGCAGCAGAGTTGGCATCTTTCCTTGGCTGACTCTCAGTCCTGCTACGTCTGCATAATCTGAGGAAATTAACAGTCTCTGGGAAAAAGATCCACATGTTGGCAGGCATTTGTTCGCAAAAGCAAAGTTCTTCCTGCTCTGTGGTCCGCCAGTCCTCAACTCACCTGTCTCGTAGTCCTCTCTCCCCGTGGCACAGAGCAGGGAAAGTCTTTTGTCTCCCTTGAGACAGAAGCAGCCCTTCTGTAATGATGCCTGCTCACTTAAAGTGGCTGTAAAGGGCCTCCATAAATAAATAAATTACCCAGCTCTGTCCCTCCTCTCAGTCTTTGTGATCTGCAGCCTCAGGGTTGAGATAGACCATCAGGACACAGGGGGGGAGGTTATAGTGGGGGGGGGGAGTATAAGTGACGAATAAGTGGTTTTAGGGTCTCTTCCAACCGCTCCGGATCAATGCGTCAGCTCGCAGGAAAGGCTGGTTTCGGAGATCTGTGAGTAGGGGGGGAGAGAGGGGTGAGAGATGGGGGCACACATGTTAGAGGACCCAGGGGTCAATCTGCAAAATGTCTTCTTCCTATCTATTGTTCTCTTTTCCAGTTTACCAGTTCAACAGCTAAACCTAATTACCTAAGGTGTTTCTATTATTTTGTCCAACACTTCTTTTCAGAGGGTAAGAAAAATAACAGAAACACCTTTCTTTTTAATGCAATACAGCTCAAAGTGCCACAAACATCCTCCAAAACTGAACGTTATAAATATAATGAAGGTAGGATTGTTGCATTAGATTTATCTAGGTATCAGTAATAAACTGGAAATTGAGTGTATATGTTGGTCAAATTATAAAAAACTATTACTATTTAATTACTTCTGCAGTTAAACTTGATCTACTGTTTTACTCAAAAGTATAAAATTAGCAAATAAGGGCATTAACAATAAGGACTAAACATCAAATGACACGTTCCCAAAGCCTTGCATTTCGCCTGGAGGTGGTGATGCATAAAACAGTGAAATGCAAGGCTTTGGGAATGCTTGTTAGGACAACTTGGTAACACTTATATTGCAGCAGTACCAATAAAAATAGCCATTATTATTACAGTTACAGTAAAATGGTCAACAAGCTCTTTCAATCGCTCAGCAATAATCGAGCTGAATGTGCCTGAAGTAACAGAAAAACCTCTCAGCTCTGTGACAAATAACACAGACTGAGTTCATGTGCTGTTTATGTGACTGAATGTGGGATATTTTCAGAGCCTGTTGACCAAATAGCTGTTCAGCACAGCGCGGATGACAGTTAGCAAAGACAAAACATGGCGGACGTTGTTGACAGGTAAGGGTGAATGAACACTGGACAACATGCAACACATAATAGGAGGAGTGAGGATGATGATAAAGATGACCTTAAGATTCACAAGGGGGCATTTCAAATCTACAAATATGTTCTCAAAGACTTGGTGGAAAAATAAAAAAGGGAATTCATGTTTTAATGGCTGTTGGGGCAAATCATATTGTATTCCAGTCTTTAATGATCTTGTTTTCTAACTTGTGTGTTGTAAAGCAAATTTCAGTGCTGTGAAGCTTTCTCTTTTTTTTATGTTTCTTGCATAAAAGCTCGAGCTGAAGCAGCTGACATCACTGTAGCAGCACACAGGAGCCGGAGGGCCAAGCAGGCCGGGACTAAGCCAGGCTACCTTCCTTACCCTCTCATAGGAGTGGGAAATACTGTCATTAATCTTCTTTTCAGCTGGAGGTGGTAGAATAAACAGTGGTGGTTGAGGAAAAAAGAGTCATATGTTAGCAGGAAACCAACACCAAACAAGTTAGTTTCATGGAACAGGCATTGTTGATAAAAATTAGCCAAACCTCTTTGAGCGACCATTTTATATCCAGTTAAATTAAAGAAATATGCCATAATAATGCACAGCCTTTTACATTCGTCATGCAAGAAGCTCTCATTAAATAATTGTATCATAGTCAAGGCTGATTGTACTCGTTTTTATCAATATATTTTTTTCACATACAAAAATATATTGACCCTGTACAACTTTTTTTCCCGTGGTGCTTCAGGCAAAGAGGTTTGGCTGACTCCTATCACCTGACGCCTGATAGGAGTCCTTTAAACAGAAACAACCAAATGACGGCCCAAGTTAGTTCACAGTAGTTATAGTGGTGAGGGTGAGGGTGAGGTTGGGGAGGTGACAGGGATCATGCTGCATGCACAGTGGGTCATGAGGCGTACGAGAGACCCCTGGACAACCTTGGCATTAGGGGGAGGGGCTAGCAGTTGGCGTCGTCACAGAGGTTGGCTTCACAGAAGAACCGTGAGCCGCGTTTAGCAGTGCGCGCTGTGAAGGGCACGCTCTTCAGTACTGGGGGAGGAGTGGGGGGAGAGAAAACATGTCACACCTGACACACTGCCCTTCATGGGGGACAAACACTGGATCTCCTTTAGGTTTCTTTCAGGGGTCCGTAACAAACCTGTGACATTTCTGTATGTCGCACAGATCTGTAGAAACGCACCTGGTAAAACCCTTAGGAGGTATTTAATAGGATTAGGGACAACACTTTACTATAAGTCGTCCTATTTTGTAAACAAATAGACATAATATTACAAAAAAAAGCTGTAATTATATTAAATAATTCTTCATAGAAGAAACTATAGTCCCTGATAAATACTACATTAATGAACACTTAAACATGTCCTTATATTTACATACGACAACATTACATTATGTTATAAAACATTTATCAAATAGTTGCTAAAAAAGGGTACTTAATGTAAAGTGTTATCAGATAAGGGGCACGAGGATATCTTTGAAGGGTATCATTTGCAAAATAAGCTGTTAACAGCTTAAATAGTAGTAGGATATAAGCATTATTAACTATTACAATAACATTAATGCAACATTTATATTATTTTAAGCACTGATCCTGACAAAACATTAGTCTGTTAAGGTGTTATCCTGAGGCTGTACAGTAGATGTGTATTTCTTCTTTACATTAAAGCTCAGATATGTGGGAATCTAAAACGTCTAAGTATTATCCACGGTCTGTGTCTCAGTTCCTATAAACAGAAACTGTTATTTGAATAATAAAAATCACTTAAACTACACATGACTTAAATAATGATACAGTAAATAATGATTCTGCAGACTAAATGTAATGTTCATTTGGAATCAAACTGCCCGTCTGACTATCTACATGTTGAGGCTTGAAAGCTTTAGTGCAGTGCATTTCTAAGCCGGGAGTGACCGGAGGCTGCTGTGCTGCTCTGGGCTCCAGATGTGCTGCTCTGGGCTCCAGATGTGCTGCTCTGGGCTCCAGATGTGCTGGTGTCTGGACTACGTAGCACAAGGTGCATTTCAAAGGAGCTGAGCAGTGAATGACCACAGTCATCCTCGACCTGGGACCGGGGCTGCTGGCCCCCACATGGGGTCTTTTTAGGGTGTTGTCTGTCCCACCTGTGATGATGTCCTCTATGGTGCCATCCTTGCCCTCGTACACGGGCCGGTGGTCTTTGGCCTGCCGCTTGCGCAGCTCTGCGATCAGCTCGTGCTGCTGCTGCCTCTTCTTCTGGGACTGGACCTGGATCAGCGGAGGAGGGGATATTTGTCCAGTTTATTTTATTTAGCTCTGAGTAAACATTTGACTATTCAGCTCTGTTGCACTTTGACTGTACCTTGGGCTCTTGCTGCTTCGCCTCCTGAGCCAGTAACTTTTCTCTCATTGCTTCCTCCTGCTTTTTCCTCTGCTCGTTTTCTGCCACTGCATCCTGGTGAGAAGAGAAAAACATGATCAGTAAGTGCAACCAAAAACAAAGCTCAAACAAATCCAAGTCAATACATCTGTGTGGCCCTAAAATGTATGAAAAACAGGACAACATTTCAACTAAGACTTACATTTTCATAATGCTTTACTATGAATTTATTACATTTTATATTCAAAATACTGAACTATGATTTGTTTATGACATTTTTCATATTTAAAACAACTATACGATGTATTCAAGTCTTATTTTTGAATATAATATGACCTTTTTCATTTTATTTTTCTAAATACTACATATGTCTTCTTTTATGATATTTTTGACATACTGTATTATACTAAGTGTGTTTTTCAGTTTTTTTTTAAACATATATATATATATATATATATCGTTTTTATGATATTTTTGACATACTATGACTTGACTATGATTTTTTTAATATACCATTATTTTTTGTTTTTCCTATTAATTTTGAAACAACTGCTACAATGTTTTTTTCACACACACAACGACACACACACAACGACACCGACACACACACACACACGCACGCACGCAGGCACACACACACACACACACACACACACACACACACACACACACACACACACACACACACACACATACACATACACATACACACACACACACACACAGAAATCGTTGTGTTTCACGTTTCCTTATTCAGATCCCATAAATCGAGACTGAGAACAATCTCAGGAAGTGTGTTTTGTGGTGGGGCAGGGCGAGGCGGGGGTAAAGGGGGAAGGGGGGGTGGGGGGCAGTCTAAACACCACAGCTGCAGGTCTGGAGTCAGACCCAGCTGGCCTTTCCTGTTATTTGGCCTCCGACTATACGCCACGTCCTGTGTCGCAGAGGCCTCCAGCGCTCTGCCCTGCTCTCAACGAGACTGACAGCCTCCAAGCGCTAAACCAGGAAACCACTGATCTGAGCTGCACCCTGTCAGTGAGGAAAGATACATAGATGCTGCTTGGTGTCCTCACCTTGTAGGCCTTGATAAAGCGCACAAACACGGGGAAGAACACCGAGGGCGGAGTCGTCTTGGCACTCTCTCCGAAGTAGTTCACCACATTGTTGAAGGCTTCCTAGAATCGGGAAGGACAGTGCCAGAGTGGAAGCATTGTATGTAAACACTGTTGAGTCATGATTGTTTGTGTGTTAGAGGTCACACCTCGGGTAAAGTTAGCTTTTCTTTCTTGTATTCTTTTTGAGGTGAGGCGGTAGGACTGTGTTGTTTACCTCTGCTGTCTTGGCATCTTTCTGTAGCTTGTCCAGCTGTGTGTCGTGGGCCTGGATGAAGCCTTTCAGCACCGCATGGTCATGGAGACTGCACTCTCTCCGGATCAGGTCCATGCCTTTCCCCAGCTCTCGGACGTCAATCAGCACATTTTCCAGGGATACTTTGAACGTAGATAGGGAATATGTTTTATTGACAGCAAAATAAAAATAAAATCCAATATAAAAATAGGATGAGAAATGAAACTGTCTTGTTATCTGAACATGGACTTTTTTTTTAACTTTATTATCCCTGGAAAAGGGTGTATATATGTATATAGGTACATACTGTATGTATGTATATGTATATATATAATTTTGTTTATCTCTGTGAGTATTTAATTAAGGAATTATAATTAATTTTTTTATCCTGCTAATTTTGTTTGTTTTTTCGGATGTATTAAACAGTTTAATTGTTGAAATAGTAGAATAAATAAATTTTAAAAAACAACAATATATGGACGCGATTTGATGTAAATGTGAAGATACCATAACTGACATTACTATTAACTTATAAGGAATTGACGGATCTCACCTGCTGCAGCTTTATCCACATAGTTCAGTTCATTGTGGAAGTTAGCCAGTTCAGGGTACTTCTCTTTCAAAATGAGACTTATGTAGTGGAGCAATGTCATCTTCCTGTCTGTAGACTTAGTGTCCAGCAGCTGTGTACCAAGAAGAAAAGGAAAATCAGTGAGAGCACTGCACATATGAACTGTGAAATGAACTTGCTATTTTTAGTAAGGGAAAAAACTATGCACTAGGAAAATGCTACCTATTACTCACCAGATCAAGACTTTGTAATTTGAAGCCATAAACGCAGCCTCGCTTGTCGCTGTTCATGTAGTTTCCCAAGGCTAAGATGATCTACAAGTAAACCAAAAGAATAAATGAACATGCACTGAGAATACCAACTCTGCTGCAAAAAAACCACTAGTCAAATAAACATTTCTTACCTCAAGCACTCTTTTTAACTTTGGTGCGGATTTGACTGATCCAGAGGCAGCAATGACTGCATTGAGCTGCGGTGTGAGCATGTTAAGGTTGTCAGAAAAGTTCCCAACAAAGGTGATGATGTTCATTCTCTGTGTGAGCCTCTCAATCTTGCTGAATAACAACATGAAGCGATCTTCCTCTGTCAGCTGGTCGAGTGGACGCCGCTCCCGCTCGTACTGACGCATCACCTTCACCTCCGTCTCCGTGGGCAGGAATCGCATCAGGCACTCCACAAAATCGACGGGTAAGGCCTTGAGGTCAAACCTGAGTGAGGATAACATGTATTTAAACTATTTTCTATCTGGTCTATAGCTCAACATGTATTTCAATATAAGGTAAAGTGCATACTTCTCTATTGATTTGCAGATCTCCTCTGAGGGCTTGTTAGCTTTCCGCAGTGTGATGGCTAAGTTCTTGGAGCGATTAGCATCGAGAAGGCTGATCTTGTTTACCGCCTTCTGGGCTACTTTGCTCTTCGTGCAGGAAAATTCCACAATTGGACCCTGGGCTCTGGTCTTAAACAGCTCCTCAAACCTCTCCAGATCCAGCTCCTGCAGAGGGACAGTAATTTACAACATTTATTAAAAGGTCCCAACCCATTTGCTCTAATAGCTTCTTCATATGAGCTTCTAGTATTTTCTGTTACATATTGAACAGTTATGGTTCATTTCACACAAGCAATATCTGTATTTTTGTTTTTCTTTGTGCACTTCTCATCTGTTTGGGCGGGGCATATTGCAAAGAGGTGATGTCATGTATTTCAACGCACCAATCAGGATTGATCTAATTTACCTGAACTTTTGATTGTAAACGATACAGAAGAATGTTCTTTGTCAAGACTTTAAGTCATGGGTTTCCAGGATCTTTTTAGTTATTTGATTTGCTTGAAATACCTCCATCACACGTTCATCATCAATCTCGTTGAAGACTGTGCCATTGATCTGATTGGGCTTTAAGGCCGTCCAGTTGAACACAGGCAGGCGGAACTTGGTCTTGATGGGCTTCTTGATTCTGATAGCTATAGAAAAAATGTATATGAAAGTGTCATCTCAGTTACTTGCGGTGGAATAGAAAGCCCATGTATACATAAGTATTGGTATTGGCTCTCACCTGAAAGACCCAAACTCAGGATAACTGATGGAGAAGTGCCTGGCAGAGGAGGAGCGGGAGGAGGTGGCGGGATGGGTGCACCATGGCCTGTAAAAAAAAACATTTATTAATACACTTTTCACTGGAACACTTGAAAAAAACCTGTTTAGAATTGTATTCATTTATTTATTTGTTTCATTGTGTTGTGTCTTTTAATCTTGATTATAACTTTAATTTTCTGTCTTGATTCTTTTTAGTTCTCGTTATTTTTAACCTTCTGCAAAAGAGATTTTTTTTCATCATGAAGCCTTTTCCTGCTTAGATAAAGTTGCAAATGGAGCTAAACACTGCTGTCAGTACTGTTCATCCTGTGCTATTCTGCTTGCACCCTCACACACAAAGGAAACAACTTGTATTTCCCTTTCCTGTCTGGGGTAGAAACACACGCCATCACCTGGCATGTCACGAATCAACAACGAAGTGGAACTGAAAATAGACATCCTCTGAGGGACTTCAGTCCACTTTCACATATATGTGTCACCCGACATAACCACTGTGCGTCATGGTCTGTCACCTGAAGCAGAAGGAAGAGGAGGAGGAGGCGGTGGAGGTGGAGGAGGGGGTGGAGGTGCTTCACTGGCTGGGGGTAAACTTGTGTCTAGTCCTGGTTGGATTAACCCAGCTGTTGAACCCAAAGAGAGTTGACCAATGTCTCCCAGTGGGATCCCGAGGCCACTTGTCCCAACACCACCCCCGACAACCAGAGGCTCAATGGCAATGTCTCCGTCAGCCTTCTTGTGCAGGCGGATGGTGCCTTGCTGTTCCAGCTCCAGAAGTCGCCTCTCGATGTTGACGTGCCTCTGAGAAGCGGCGTCCTTCTCCTTGATCATCCTCCTCAGGGTGGTGACCTGGGTGTTGGTCGACTCGTATGTCTCCTGGAGAGTCACCAGGGGGCGATAAAGAGCAGAAACACAATGACTTTACATGCCAAAGAAACATCCTGTTTCCTGCTGACCTAAATTGCAATCACAGCAATTTAGCTATAAGCATCTATACAGATCTCTGCTGAAACAAAATGAAGGGAAGCCTTTCTGGAGAGACACAGACTAGGAAATAAGACATCAGTAAGACTGCCAACTTACCCGTATTGCATGCAGGTCCTTTTCTTTCTGAAGCACCACCTTCTCCAGATCAGCCACTTTCATCATTGTTTCATTCTCAATCTCCAGCAGCTTCTCCGTGACCTGGGCGAGAAGACGGAGAGAACAACAACAGAAAGATGAGAGGAGGAGAATTCAAGAATCGATCCAGAGCATGGGCATCTTTCCCAGTTCAACTCCCTCCCACTCCCTCCCCTAGACACTGTGCATCATCAATAAGAAATAAGATATATTCAGCAGCATGACACAGCATGAGCATGACACAGCTTTCAGTTTTGTTTTCGGACAGATTACACATGTTGCATAGGAATCCCCAAAGATTCCTCACTCTCGTCCTCCCCCATCATTCCTGACCCCTGAGAAATGAGTTTGTTATGAAATTCCTCAAGTGATGTCAGATCTGCCCACAACCGTTCTATGAGAAGGTCTTTGCATAGCAGCGTGGGATACGAAGGCCACTGCCCAGAAAGAATGAGCCAAAACTAGAACAATATTAAGCTTGTTTCACACGCAGAGTTTTCCAACATTCTCCACCCCGTCATTATTCCGAACCACTTGTGAAATGCAAACACTGAGTAGATGTCTTAATCACCACGTAGAAACACGCAAGTTAAGTACATGGCTGGTGAACCACAACAATCTCATAAAGGAGAGCTGTGTTGGTGGTCTAGGCTGGGGGGTGCACTCACATGGGACAGGTGCTCCTCCAGTTCGTCCACCTTCTCCAGAGCAGCATTCTTTGTCTCCGCATCTTCCAGCAGACCACCCACGTCAAACACGTTATCCAGGTAGGCCTGGATCTGCACCGACAGCTTGTCACTCTCCGTATGCTTGCTTTTCTGAAACGAGGCAGAATAAATCAGCATTGAAGAGACTCTTCAGCAAATGTGTGAATAGGCTTCATCTGGGGATTGCCTTTTTCAAGGTGGTACGTTTATTTATATAAAACAGAGGCAATTCAAAGAGCTTTATCATCATCATTAACACTTAATAAGAAGACAAAAGAAAGGAAGACAATAAATAAACATAATGAAATAAAAACCATGCATAAAAGAGATACAGAATAGTTTAAAAACAACATTGTAAATACAGTAGGTGCTAAAAGAAGTGAAAAGACTTCTGGGTAAGCAGCTGAAAAAAGTAATGTGTTTAGACCTCAGGTTTTCTGGAAGTTTGTTCCATTTGTGGGGTGCACAAAAACTAAAACCCATCATCCCAACCTCACCTCCAGGTAATCATCCAGCCCCAGCTTGGTGAATTCATACTGCAGATGGACTCTGAAGTTCATGTCCTCCACTGAGTGGACCACGATGTTGATGAACTGCATGCAAGCAACCTGGACCAAGGACACGGACAGATTTAGATGCAAATATATTTAAGTGGATAGATAGATGGACATGCATTCACATTATAAATAATACTCATTGATAAAACAGAGCTTATCTTACCATGTAGTCGATGTTTCCCTCCTCACAGCTGAAGTAATCCATCAGTCTCTCAAAGCGATGCTTCTCCTTACACACCTGAAATTCATAAGATGTGGAAATAAAGAGGTGGTATTTTAGCGATGATTTACAAAAGTGTTATTACAAAACACTAACATGCAGAGAAACTAAATGGAAGGTCAAAGTACGTTTTTCTTTATCCTTGAATTAGGATGGTTTGCCTACTTTTTACTATTTAAAATATCATCTATTCTCCTTGTCAGTGAGATCACACATCTCTGTATTATGAGGTGTGAGTTTTTCACATGTGCCTTGAATTGATGCAATACAAGTTTTAAATATTTGGTCAAACCAACCATCAGAGGTCCTCAGAAGTCCTTTATGTATCTACTGTATTATAATAAGACATGTCAAAACATAATACAGTAGTTTTCTATGATGAAACACATTCCAGATTCAAACAAGAGCTTAGCTGTATATAAACAGAGGACAGCTTCCTCCATTTGCAACAACAACCTCTTCTAATTCATGGGAAGTGAAGCCAGGGAAAGATAAAGACATGGGACACATTTATTTTAGCCAAATTCCTACACAAAAATGCACTGAAGGAGACGGAAAAACAAACACTGCTTTCTCTACTCTTTTTTGTCAGTCCTGTACAAATAATTTCTGACTAACTAGAAATGGTAGTAGTCCCGGTCATTATACTTGATTACAGTACAGATGTGGTTGAGTAGGTAGCCTGCTTGAGATATTTACAAAACCTGTCTGATTGAATTAATGTCTCATTTAGAAAAATACCACTACAGAAACACCATTTTGTTTTGACTGGTCGGTTGATTAGCTCGTGTCTCTCTGGGGATTTTTGACTGCGAGGTAATTGTCTTGTTCCGGAGTTTAGATGAGTGCGAGGCAGAAACCGAGAGGCTAAGCAAACCTTTGTGGTCCACCGGCTCCCACCGGGGAGTATATCCTTATCATTGTTCAAGGTTGGCTCACATCTGGTGTCCTAATGAGACTAATGACCTCAGACAGGCCACCGTAGAGCTTTGCTTAAACCCTCAGTCGACATGAAATCTACCAGAGCTGCTCTACTTTCATCCCATTACACTGCTCCTTTATGCCCCCATGCACACCAGTGATGTGAGAACTGCTGGCAATTTAACTAATGTCAGCTCAAATTGTTTTTCTTTGCGCATTCAATTCTCACAGGGTAAGCCATATTGCCACCAAAAAGTAAAAGTGCAACTTGTTATGGTTCAAGTTGAATTAAAACATTGCTTTGGGCACCTCTTTGAAGTTGTCAAACGCTGAGAGGATGATCTCGTGACCTCCTCGGACGAGACAGACCGCAGCCAGCAGCTCGAGGACCAAGGCTTTTGTCCTGGAATTACAGGAGACACGCGTTAAAACATAACTGGATAAGAGTAATACTCAAAACACTTATTCTCTCAAATTAATAGGTGAAAAATAAAATGTTTTATGCAATCTCAACAGAAAAATGTACGTCTTCAGAACGTAAATACTGGAATTCCCAGGAGCAGAAATCCATAATCCATACTGAAGTCTGAAGCAAGGGCACGTCTTTATAGCTTTTTAAGTGTTTACACTCCAATCCTTCATTATGAAGTGATCAGCCTTAGCGGTTTACCAGTAATCTCTCTTTAGTAAACATTCCTTTAACAGTGTGTATATACGCCTCTGATCCCCAGCTTCAGAGAGAAGCTGAGCCCCATGGAGAATGAGAGGCATATCATATGAACTGGCTGTAGGGTTCCCCCTATTGTTTGACCCAGCCCTGCGTCCATGGAGACAGGGGGGCCTCAGTTCTTACCGTGAGTTCTTATTGTTCAAGCTGAGAGCAATTTCATTGACTGCGTGTGCGTGAGACATGACCATATTGAAGCCATACTGCATGAAGAAGAGAGAGAGAGAACAGGATGTGGTCAGAAAACCTAAGATCGTATTTAGCAGTTGATTGCACAGGAAACAGATAATGCTCTCGTTTATAACAGATATCTGTATCTCATGGTGTGCGGTGGCGTTACCTGGTAATTCATGATTGCTCTCAAGCACATGATGCACACGTGCACGTCATCTTTTTGGCTCACCAGGCGGGAGTTCTTGATAGTTTTGCTGGTGGAAACCGTGCCATAGCTGCAACGAATGTCAAAAGTTAATATCTGGTAGTGATTCAGTTATCAAACTTAGTGTTTATGGTAAATAAGATGTTTAACCACAGCTTGTTTCATTCATCTGCAGAGTTTATCTGGTGTTCATATAACTCTTGTTTTAAGTGTGTCACGTAGGAAGAAGCAGAGAGAGAAAATTACAGAGAACAAAGTCTGACAGAAAAAACTTAGATGGCTTTTGAGGTCACAGATGCATGATGGGAAATGCCTAGTTTCCTTGCTGCTGTCAACAGACCAAGGTCTCTGCACACATACAGCTGTAATGCAACTGCACTGCCCAGTCATCCCCATGTGCATATACTATAACCTTTCTTGTTCTGTTTATAAATGGCTTTTACAGTATGTGGTGACCCAGCGTTTCTGAATCCTATACGTACAGCCTATGTGATACATAGAGTTATACTAATACAGATTCAGAAGTAATCTTAACAGTATAAAGGCTGATGTTTCCTTCTGAAATATGTTTCTTTGTAATCACACTTCACATCTTGTGTCTCTTTATCTCCTGTCAGTGTGTGGTTGAATAATGAAGAACACAACTGTCCAGCATATTCTGCAGCTCACAGCTGCCTCTCATTTGAAGAAAGTGGGGACGCACATCTGGACAGATGAGGGAGGAGAGAGATCCATAATGCAAAGATTTGAGTATCTATGTCTGATACAGTTCTTCATCTGATTGAGTTTGTGCAGAGCCTTGAGGTGAGGAGAGAGGTCAGCAGACTCATTAACCATTCAGGCAGCGTCCTGCAACAAAACAGCACCAAGACAACTGGCTGGCATGCTAACACATAGCATTAAAAGATTAGCAGAGCGAGGCAATACCAGGGATAGGTAACAGCGGGGAAGCTTTAGCAGTACGTACCGGAGGACAGACTGGCGGGCGGAGCGCACCAGGGTGTTGCAGAAGGGCTGGGTACTGTTGTGGTGCAGATCCTCTATGGACCTGCTCCAAGATTTAGTCTTGTCCAAGAAGCCTTCCTCCCCATTTTCCAGGCCCTCAAAATCCAACCTGAGCCACATACAGACAGATAGACAAGCCAGCACAGAGGCGAAGGGG